AAAATATGTTTCCAAAATGTTCAAAATTCCCAAAAAATATTTTTTAAAAAAATGTTTAAAAAATTTAAAAAATTTTTTCCAACAAATTTTTTTAAATGATTTCGAACCCATAACCTATTAAGTAATAGTCACTGAACCTACCCCAAAAATCTAAACTTTATGCATAAAAGCTTGTATTTCCACCCATTTTAAGTCGCAGCCAATAAATCTCAGAAACCAGGAGAGTTCTGCAATCCAGCGCAATGCGCTCAAATGGATATTGTTGCGGTTTCCTGTGTTATTACACTTGTTGTTTGTGCAATTTTACTTTTTAACTAGTTGTTGCTGTTGTTGTTGTTGTTATTGTTATTGCTATTGTTGTTATTATTGTTGCATTTAATCATGTTGTCACATTTGCTTGCATGTTAAGCAGTCGACGAATATATAGAACCAAAACACAGGAGCAATAACAACAACTAAACAAGAAAAGTTCCCGTCACGTGCTGCACTCAAAACTGCACAGCATGAAAGCCGTATGAAATTCATACACGCCGAGCAATATAGTACATGCAAGTCATGCCACTCATACCACTGAGTGTAAATCGCAGGCACATTTGGTTTGTATGTATGTGTGTACAACTTAATGCATTTGAGTGTATGTGAGTGCGTGAGTGTGTGGGTAAGCGCGCGCTTCATTTTGAGGCCGCACGTGCAGCAACTGCTTATCATTCACATGCCTTGCATGTTGCATACTTGTGGACCATATATATTTGCATATGAATTACATACACATACACACAGCAAATACGGGTTTTGTACTTCTTTCGCAATTCAGCCTTATTTTAAGTGTTTTACATTCACCAAATTGAAGCTCCACCATTCAAGTGTTTGGTGTATTTGTAAATACGAAAGGCATGTACTGTACACCCCGCAAACCCGAAGTTAGTGGAATGTAAAAAATTATTTAAGTTCATTTTTGAGTTATCGATCTGAAATTTTGCACAATTTTTATTCTATATATGTTGAAGCTCATATGTCGGAAACAGTGGTATCGGAAGACTATAGCATATAGCTGCCATGCAAATTGACCGAACAATATTAGGTTCTTGTATGGAAAGCTTTTTCATTTGCGGAGTTATCTTCACGAAATTTCTCATAAAATAATTTTCTAAAGCAGCGCTACAATTTTTGAAAGAATTTTCAAAATCGGATAACTATTGCGTACAGCTGTCATACAAAGTGACCTTTCAAAAAAAAAAAATTATATACACTTTTTGGCGGTGGTGGTAGTAAAAACCTCATTATTGTACATTAAGCATGAACTTAAAACTAACTTTTGCCCAAACGATTACCTATTATACATCTAAAATTTCCCTCCAACTGCCTATATACTCAATGAACCAAAGCCCACAGCAATGCTTGCTGGGTGCTGTCAAAATAAAGTTTGTCGATATTTAGAAAGATTGTAAAATTTCGCACGATTGCACTTAACTACCAGCAGCTCGCAATACGATGAGTGTTGTAATACGTGGCGTATGAGTAATGTGAACAATTGTGGGCGTATGCATGATGTAGATTTTGTCTCCACTTTTCGCAAATGTAATTCAATTGCAGATAACAATTGTAGCAGGATTCAAGCGACTGCATTTACCGATTCATAGCTGATCATTTGAATATATATTATTTAAGTAAACCAGCTTGCGCCTATAGTTCGACTATAAATCGACGAAATATAGCAGGAATAAAACGCTAAAATATATATAATAAATGTATATTAAGTTTGTCACGAAGTTTGTAACAAACAGAAGGAAACGTCGGAGACCCTATAAAGTATATATATTGAGCTGAGTCGATTTAGCCATGCCCGTCTGTCTGTCTGTCCGTCTGTCTGTATATATACGAACTAGTGCATCAGTTTTTAAGATATCGTTTTGAAATTTTGCAAACGTCAGTTTCTCTTCAAGAAGCTGCTCATTTGTCGGAACTGCTGATATCGGACCACTATAACATATAGCTGCCATACAAACTGAACGATCGGAATCAAGTCCTTATACGGAAAACTTTCACATTTGACAAGATATATTCACGAAATTTGGTAAAGATTATTTTCTAAGGCGACAATGTAATCTCCGAAGAAATTGTTCAGATCGAATAACTATAGCATATAGCTTCCATGCAAAGTGAACGCATAGTAACTAACAGAAATGAACCTGTGAAGGGTATTTAGCTTCTATGCAACCGAAGTTAACGTTTTTTCTTGTTTTTTTTTTTGCAAGAGTTCAGCTACAGTATGTCTGAAAAGTATGTGTACTATAAATAGAATATTTTAAGAATTCCAAACCTTTATTTTTTAGGCCGTTTGCATAAGTACATCAACAACAACAATGACAGTAGGCTTAATGCAATGCCAGAAAATGTAGAAGTTAGGCTCAAGTCGACCAAATTGAAGATTAAACAAATTGTTTGTCACATTTTTTTAATGTTTTCCTGATTGTAGGCAATATTTGATAAAAACAAAATTTATTAAAATGCAGTATTGGGTAGTCGAAAAGGCTCTTCGTATTTCTAATCAAACTGCAACTTATTTTTTTATATTTATAATGAACCAAATATGCACCATTTTGGTCGACCACGTTTTGACATTATTCCTCAGTGTAAAACTTTTCTGGTTTCTCGTCGAAAAACTGCGACAAGTAATTTTCACAGGCTTCTCTTGTAGCCAGCCCATTTTAAATGGTTCAAAACCGTTTGATGATTGATGCTAAGTTCTTTAGCGATGTCAAGGCTGCTTATGTGATGGTTCTGGCCAATCTTTTCCATCATTTCATTGACAACGATAGGTCTACCAGAGCGAGAGGTATTTTTCGCATCAAAATTTTCAGAATGGAAGCGAGCAAACCATTGTTGTGCTACACGAACTGATACCGCCTCGGCTCCGTAAACTTTACAAATTTCATTGGTGGCTTGCAAGGCATTTGTCGCTTTTTTATATAAAAATAAACTCTATAATTATTAATTGCACCCTTGTTTTCGCTTACTACCGCCTTAAAGTACATTACATCAACTTTTTTGTTTATTCCGTTATTAAAACTTTATAATTTATTACTCTTTTTCGTTTTGTTTAACCTCTTTCAAAGCACTAGCGTTGACTACACTTCGAGTAACACTTCTTACCTCTTATCATTTACCCTTATTTTGCTTTAGTTACCATTAAACTAAAGTATCGTTTTTGTTACTGCATCTGGCGTTGTTGTTGTTGTCGTTAGTGCTGAGAAAATAATACGACAACACTTTAGCTAGCTTGTTGACACTATTTTGTAGCAATTTTTTTTCTGTTTTTGCACGTGTGTTCTTCGCAAATACATGCGATTCGCATGCACTTTTGCCTTCAAACGTCAACAGTTGCAAAGCAGAGTGTTGCTCATACGCCGTGCGGTACCCATGAAGCACGTTCGACGAGCACGTTTGCCGCCTTACAGCAGCCTCACGTTGTCAACTCTATGTATGCGCATGTATATTTCTTGCTCATTAGTGCAACCTTAACGCACACTTTGAGGTTATGATGAATTTAGTTCTTATAGCATATATTTGTGTCACCCTCGTGTGGCGAACACCCTTCAAGAGCGGCACAAGCAATATGACAAGCGGTTCCTTTGGCATCGACTTTAATGTTGTGTTTCGTTTTTTTCTTTTTTTTGCGTTTTCTTGTTGTTTTTGTGACGCTCGAACGGTCTGCATGGCAGATGCTTGCGTGTATTCATATTTTTGTTTTCTACTCGTGTGAATAAGTAGTGAAAGAAATGTGAGAAGAGAAGAAATGTGTGTCACC